TTTTGTGGTCGGGCCCCCCCCCCCCCCCCCCCCCCCCATGTGGTACTACCAGAAGACTGGAATCTTGCCCCATTAATTTAACTTACTCTTTATTACTTCTGTTGTTGCAGGCAGATAAGTTGCTGTCTCAAGATTTTGTTCAAATAATGGAAGACATTATTCTCACGCTACCTAAAAACAGACAGATTTTGCTCTACTCAGCCACTTTCCCTTTGAGTGTACAGAAGTTCATGGTGAGCGCAGACGTATTCATATACGTATGATGGTGGTGACATTGCATGTGAAGCGTGTGAATGAGTGGTGCATAGCTGTTAGTGCTCGTTTTTTAAATGCATCCAAACTTCACCAATTTAATCTAAATCAGCCTAAATCTAGGACAGAAGTTTGAAAATAATTTTTGACCCGCAATTAATGTGCGCAGTTCTTGCCTAGGAGGTGCTGTTTTCCACTTTGTACATCAGTTGTGTGCCGTCTGCACTGATTTGCTTCCAGAGGGTGTTCCTGTTTGGCCTGCTCGGTTGCCTGGGATTTATAAGTAATCCTTTGTGAAATTTTACCCACCGTGTCTGTTTTGTGTATAGCATGAAGAGTGAGCAGCTAGGTAGTATATCCTTGCCACGAAGGAAGGTAAATGTGCCAGAGGGTGGGAAGTACTTGTGTTGTTTTGCATGTAGCTATGCCCACTTTATCTCTGTTTTTCAGAATTCCCATTTGCAGAAACCCTACGAGATTAATCTGATGGAGGAGCTGACCTTGAAGGGAGTTACCCAGTACTACGCCTATGTCACCGAGCGTCAGAAAGTGCACTGCCTCAATACGCTGTTTTCCAGGGTAAGCAGTAGGGCTGGGTCAAGAACATACAGAAGCTTTTTTCCTTTCGGAACCAAGAATAAGACCGAGGGTGGCAAAGACTGCTTAAGGACACTTTTTCCTTGTCAAAATGTGCTGTTCAGCTGAAGCTAAAAATGCGTACTTCTTGACCCGCACCTTTGCGTTATAGAACTTTGTTAGTTTTTTTTACCTCTTGTACAAAAAAATATACTGTGTAAATTACCAGCAGCATACTTGCTTCGCTTTCTTTCTGGAAGGGATTTAAACTTATGCCTTGGATCATTTGTTAGTAAAATGCTGCGTTTACTGAGCACACTACTTATATGTTCAGCTCCAGATTAACCAGTCGATCATTTTCTGCAACTCCTCTCAACGGGTTGAATTGCTAGCCAAAAAGATCTCCCAGCTGGGCTATTCCTGCTTCTATATCCATGCTAAAATGAGGCAGGTGAGTATGAAGTCTACAGCCGTTTATTCCACGCCACCCCAAGCTTTACTGCATAGCTGAATTAAGTCTCGTGCTTGCTTTAAATTTGCATGTTCTTTGAAAACTGAAATGTGTTGCTTTGCTGTCGATTTGTTTTTAGACTCCCCTGCCCCCAAACGTCTTTCCAGACTATGCAGTGTAGCTAGTCAGTTGGTATTTAAGAGTACTTCAGGTCAGGTTAATGAGTCCAGTGTAAGCACGGGCTGCGGCCCGAAGGCGTGATTCTTAACTGCTGCCGCCTTGCTTTTGCCAGCATGGTGAGCTATGGGAGACCGCTCAGTGTAACTGACACAGGTGAAAACGAGCCTGATTTAAAACAAAGGACAAAAAACCCAATAGTGAGCTGACTGAGTGCCCTGCGTGGCTTTGCAAACAGTAAATCTTGCGCTGTAACTGCAGGGGAATCCGAGAAGTCGGGGAGGTGGCTTTGATCAAACCTCTTGGCAAAAGCCGCGACTGGTGCATGGCAACTGAGCACCTGTGGCCTCGATGTAGATGATGAAAAATGCCAACGCAGCTTTGCTGGTGCAGAGGCTTCTGTTAATTGTACGTTAGCTCACGTGTCCTCGAGCTTCATACTCGTAATTTCCAGCAAGTGTACTATAAGATGTCAGAAGCTTGAAGTGACGCATGTAAAACAGTAGAGCTTTGAAGTATTTTTTCCATTTTATATGTAAGCTAGAACAAATTTGAATGAAAGCTTTAGAGGAAACCTAGATTGCTGTTCATGCAACTGACAGGTAATGCCAATGTTTGCTGGACCATATGCAGACCGGTAATTAATTAAGCAGAAATAGAAGCGGTGTCAGTATTGAGAACAGAGAGAGATGCGAATGGGTGCCTTGAAGTCTCATTTTTGTATGCTTTTGATCAGGCAGTAGATGATCTTTGTGGCAAAATGCAGGGGGGTGTGTGTGTGTGGAAACCTTCAACTTGTTCATTCCAGCTGTTAATTTCACTCCTTAACAGTGATACTACTTAATCTTTGTGTGGCCCAAAGTGACTCATTTGTGAGAGGAGAGTTTTCACAGACAATTGACTCCTCCCACCCCTAATTCTGAATCGGTAGTGAAAAATACTCCCTACTGGAAAATGACATTACCGACGACTTCTGTTTTTAAGCGAATGAATAAAACACGCATTGAATTTGGCAGGGGGCTGGGGGAAGAGAATGTTCAAAATAGCAGTTTAACTTCCTTGATGCACATTTCACGTAATTGTAGCTTAAGATACTCCTGTTCCGAGATGGCTTTGATGCAACTATAGGAGGCTTTAAAACCGCAGTCAGTTAAGTGTCTTTGTCTACAAGTGGTACCAAGGGCCCCTTTGCTAAGTTCTTCAGCACATATGGGTAAGAAGTGCTAAAAAGTACGTACTAGCAGCTTTGTTTGACTCAGCTGTTCTCTAATGATGAGGGGGAGGAATTCACATGGTTGAAGTTCTGTGTTTGTAACTTGAATATACCTGAGAGTCACGGCTGTTTGTGTGCTTCTTTTGTTTGTTTGGTTTTTGCTTTGTGTTGATATATCTATATATGTGTTTCCAGGAGCACCGCAATCGTGTGTTCCACGATTTCCGAAATGGCTTATGCCGCAATCTTGTTTGCACTGGTAAGAGTTCCTAAACATTTCCCTATTTCTAAAGGTTGTGGTAGAAAGTGGATTAGCCGTTGGCCCAGGCAGAACAGATCACTCGATTTGTAATAAAACAGTATGTTTTGGTAAGATGTCTTTGTCAAGCCTGCGTGTAGTAGGGTGCGGCACTCCTTTAGGCATGTGGATTTTTGTCTTTTGTGACAAACTGAGGGCGCAACTTGCTAACAAATCATTTTACTGTGGTAGTATTCCTGCACTGGTTGTGTTTTCTGTATGTTTTCATACGTGAGTGCTCTCCCGAGTTGTTGGGCCGTAAGCTTTACAAAATACCAGTAGAACTGGGGCCAGCATCCCCCAAGTAAGTTTTGCCGATTCTTTGGATGTTTATAGCTCATCTAAATATTTTTATAGTTTTGATTGACCTGTGTATGATCAGAGCTCTCCATTGTACGGCCTGTTTGGGCAGTACCGTGGCAGTGTCTGCTGATCACTACACGTGCCTGGGTCGTCTTAACAAAAATTGCTAGAAGCAGAAGAAAAACAGTTGAGCTAGTGGGATGTAGTTTGGATCTCAAGTCTGTTGTGACATTGGCAATGCACAATCATGTGTGAGGAGATGCTCGTATAAGACGACCTGCTCAGAAATAGTCTAAGGTGGAAAAAAACTAGCTTTGTGCTAATTGCTTTTTCGGCATAGATGTGCAGATCTGGTGTTTGGTCGTTCTTCTTGTATTATTCATGTTTATAATGGATAAAGAGCAAGAAGAAGCCGTAACAGAATTGTATGTAAACGGTCTTTGATACAAGGGAAGCTTCTATCTGGAAATTAGCCCAAGCCAATGTTAATCGTTGTTAATCATTCCATGCGAAATACTGTCAGCATTTGATCTCATTGAAATTAACTTTCTTTGTGACTTGGATTGTCTTTCAGATCTGTTTACCCGAGGTATTGATATCCAAGCTGTGAATGTGGTGATAAATTTTGATTTCCCAAAGCTGGCAGAGACTTATCTCCATCGTATTGGCAGATCAGGTGAGAGGAAAAACATCTTTTAGGTACAACTTTGCTGATGACTGTGATGTTTCTTTGGCTTCTGTTTATTACTGTATCTGAGAACTATTTTAGTTAGCTTTGATTTTTCTGACAAATTTATTTTTGGATATCATCTCAGATGGTTATCCTCGCAAATATCTGATTAAAGGGCTGTTCTCTCAAGAGAATTGGCCTGAACAGCCAAATGAGGAAAAAAAAAAAAAAGCAGATTTTGCTTTAATCTCAGGAGACATACTGATGCTCCTCTTTACAGTTTGGGAAAATTCTATACTGAAAACTTGGCTTCTGTGGTGTCTTAAGCGTAGTTTCCTCCTGCATGTGCTCCAAGATATGTTTCTGATGTCTGGACATTGGCAAAGTATACCCTTAAAAAAGGCAGTGAACAAAGGAACTTGGTGTACTTGAACTTTGTAGTTCAGGCTTTTTCGAGAACTCCTATTGAAGAAGGGCTGGACATGCATAATGGAGTAGTGGAAGACTTTTCGCTGTAATTAAATGAGGAGGTTTGGTCAGAGCATTTTGAACCTCCTGGGTTTTTTTATTCCTATAACAGTATGAAGCTCTGTACCAAAAACTGATGTGAAAGTTGTAGAGACCTGTGGTGAGGTCTGGATTTGCTTTTGTCATCAGAGCGCGATGTTGTTAACTCCGCAGTCTGCAGACTTTTTCAATCAGCCTTCTATTACTCAGTCTTTTTTTTTCTTTTTTTTCTTTCTTTTTTTTTTTTTTTTTTTTTTTTTTTTTTTTTTTTTTTTTTTTTTTTTTTTTTTTTTTTGGTCAAGGTCGCTTTGGTCATCTTGGCCTGGCCATCAACTTGATCACCTATGATGATCGATTCAACCTGAAAAGTATTGAGGAGCAGTTGGGAACTGAAATTAAACCCATACCAAGCAACATTGACAAGAGCCTGTATGTGGCAGAATACCACAGTGAACCTGTAGAAGATGAGAAACAGTAAACGTGTGCGTATGTAAGTGCCTTCCTGAATAGAGATGTGTTGGATGAAAGAAGAGCTGATGTGTGAATGTTACCACAGGGGAAGAGGGAAACTGATGTGCTGAAGAGGCACTGAATGTGTAAACAAGGGTTTGAAATAGACTGTCAGTGCAAGGAATTCTGTGGGTGTGCTGCAGCTGGGAGGGGAGGATGAGTAATTTTTAGTTGTTTTAATTGAAATGCTGACCATATGCTAAGGAGACCACAAATGGGGGAAAAGGGGGAGTGGGGAATGGTGTTTGGCGAGGCCAGGGTGGCTCTTGGTAGCCTAAGGGATTCTTTCTGTATTGCTCAGCTAAAATGAGAAATTGGTGAAGGGCAGAGAGGAAGGTGGTCCTCAGAAAGGTGAGGAGAGAAAACGGATAGCTTTGAGAACAGAGCACCAACAGAAGAGCCTAAGCATCTCACCAGTTAGAAGGAAGAGGTTCAAGCTAAGGGTGCTGCATCTTTCGCATCCTTTGGTTCGTAGAACTCTTGCAAGTAAACACAGTAGGTAGCAAAGCTGTGATTTGTCTTTGCTGCCACTGGAGGTCGTCTACGTAGCTTTAAAAGAAAATGAGGTTTCGCTGTCGGAGGCTCCCTAAGCGTGCCCTTTCTGATGGTCGCCTAGGGAAAAACTGCCGAGTTGAGTCCTTTTATAAGAAAAGAGCTCGCCCTGGATTGTAGTTAAACAAAATAGCTACGGGATGATGTTTGATCTGGTTTTAGTAAAGGTGCTATATCATGCGAGATCAGTCACCATGCAGTTTCGGTTGGAAATCATTCTTTTGTATGCTCTTCTCAGAAACTATGAATTAGAAAGAGAATCCCAATGAAGCTGCTGAAATTATTGTCGGGTGACCAGGAAAGAAAAAAAAAAAAGCAGCCATAGAAGCAGACTGCTAGATAGTGTTAAAATGAACCTCTGTCCCTTCTTTGAACTCATTCAAGGATAGCCCTGGCCAGTCATGCCAAGCTGACTTGCAGCCTCTGCTTTGCTGGCTGAGCATTCTCCATGTTTTATAAATAAATAAAAAAAACCCAGGCAATGAACTCGGAAAGGGCTCTTGGGTGGCTTCCTTAAGGGGAATGCTGTGACCTTGCCTGAGAACTGTTCGCCGCTTCCTAAAGGACAAGAAACCAGTAGGTAGTCATGCTCCATAGGTATAGCAGGGCGTTAGCAGCACCTCTTTCTGCAAAGCTGTGGTTGAGGTTGAGCTGTTCCAAATGCCCTTTGCTTTTCCAGAGCTGCTAGATAGTCAGTGTGATTCATTACTTGCATTTTGGTTTTGCATAGAACTGATTTAACTGTGGGTGTTGTGGTTGTTTTTTTTTGTGTGTTTTTTTTGTTTTGGTTTGGTTTTTTTTTAGGCTTTGATTACACATGCCAGAAGGTGAAGCCCTTTGATCCAGATCTGTGACACATCGTTTCTTTGGGGATACCCTTCTCTTTGTGGGTTTTTCTTCGTCTTTTCATTTCGGAACTATGAAGACTAAAGAGCTCGGCCTTTTTTTCTTTTTAAATTTGGCAGCAAGGAAGAAAGAAGATAAAAGGAGGAATGTCGTTTTGTTTTTCCACTTGTTTGCACTGTGTGCTGATTGAACATTAGTTGCACTAACTGCTGGTTTTAAATTTTTTTTTTTCTTTGGGTGGGAGGGGCAGCAAGGGAAGAAGAGAAACCCTGAAAAGAGAAGAATCTTGATGAACACGAGCTTGTCTGCTATTTCAAATTCTTCAACCATCGACTGAGTGCATTTCAACTTCTCCCTGGTTACTCATCTGTTTTTAAGCTAAAGAGCTTGTTACTTATTCGTGCAAAGTGCCTTATGCTATGAGACCATTCAGAACATCACCTTTCCGTCACAGCCCAAGGAATCAACAGCCGTTTTTGGTTTCAGGTCAAAGTTCCCCTCTCTTCCCCCTCTTCTCCTCCCCAAGTACTCAAGCCCAGGGCTGGGAGGTGAAACATATTGGTAATACTACTTTTTTTCTTCAACTTTTTTTTTTTAATTGGAGGAGTTGATATGCATCTGCAGTTCACCCATGCTGTAAATACCTGTATTTAAAACGAAACCAACTTAAAATCTGGGCTGATTAGGTGCAGCATCATAGCTCCAGAAGGAAAGAGTAGCCTGTCATCCTTTGCAGGAGCCATAAGAAAAGCCCTATGCTCTAGCAGAACACTAAAGACTGGTTTCCGTAAGAGTCTCCATTAGTAGTTACAGCACTTGATATGTAGACTTGTTTCAGAGCCATGGCCCTCTTTCCTCTGGTGCAGTGTGTCCCATAGAAAATCAGATGTGTATATTGTACAAACTTTGTAAATATGATTTTTTTTTTTTCTGTTTGGGTTCATATATAACTTTTTCTTTTGTGATGAAGGTTGCTGGGGTTAAAGGGATTAGACTGATTATGGGAGCAGCTAAAGATGAGAGGGGCTCAGTTTTCTGCAACACTAAACAATGAGAAGTGCTCTGACCTCTGTGAAGAGCAGGCCTCTGCAAGCGTCCCTTGTCAGGGTGGGTTTGCTCTGGTGCTAGCAACACTGTCCTGTACCGCTCATACGGAAGAGATCACTTGTGGGGCTATGAGGCCTCAAAATCTGTAGCTCGGCCTGCTGGGAGATGCTCTTCGATTTCCCCCTTAGAAACTTCAGGAACTTGACAAGCTCTGAAGGGGGCCATGACCTGTGTTCCACCATGGCGTGAGGGAAATCCAGTGGGTGTCAGTGTTGCTGAGCAGTATATGCATAAGGCGTGGATTTGGGTTTAAGAGAAACCGTAGAAAACCACTTTACGTGCATAAACTGACAGTTCTGGAGCTTTGTGGGATTGATTTACTTCCTGCAGCATTGTGCGTTTTCTGCCCAGAGCGGCCTCTATCCAGACCTGTGAGCAGGTAATGGCAAACCCCTGTTAATGTCAGAAGCTGCAGAAAGCTGCTTGCCATCTCCTCTGTTTTGGCATGAATTGCTGTCTGTCATTTTGCATTGTATATTGCTGAAAAGTGCTTTCTGGTCAAGTAGTGTTGCTTTAAATTGTGCCCCTCCCAACATGCTTGATGTTTGGCCTGATCTACAGGCAAAAGGAGTGAGACAAATCAAAAAACGTACTCTTTTCAAATTCCCTTTTAGCCTGTTCACCAACACTGTCAGGAGGCACCTGGACGATTGCAATCCCTTTTGCTCAGTCATTTATTGTGTATACAGATGCTGCACTCGCACCACGCTCGCTTACCTTTTGAGGCAGGAATTAATTGTCTTAATTTCTCCCCATTTTGACACTTTTTCTAAATTCAAGTAAAATTGTTCGGGACTACGAGGTGGACTTAGCCATCCATTTCCTTGAGGATCATAAATAGAAGCCAGGTGCCTCCTGACAACAACTTTACAGGATGGAAAGGTTTTTGCGTTTGGGATTTTTTTTTTTTTTATTTTGTCAGCAGTGACTCCATAATTGTAGCAAATGCTGCACTAGAGTACAAACTCAAGAGCTTGGTCACAGACACTCTGTGAGCCACACAGCTTACATCTGACTGGCAGGTACTAAATGTAAACAATATTGGGGTGCTTTTTGGGGGTGGGGGGTGGGAGTTTGCGGGTGGTAACTTTGACCAAAAGTAAAAAATCTTGCTCTTGTACTGCAGCCAGCGTATGATTTTCCAGAGAGACAGAAGAGGGATCATTTTAGTGCAACAAAGACATGAAAAATGTAAATAAAAGTTTTGTATCTTGCCAGGGCATGCACATGTAACAAGAACAGGATAGCGATGTTGAGTCAGATGTGTGTGCTCTGCTTGGATTTGTGGTAGGTTAGCCTGGTGCCATGCCTTGATGGTCCCTCTTGAAGCACAGAACTTTTGAAAGTATTACTTGGCCTCTAATTGAGGATTGGCACTTACCTAAACTATCGGGGGCACCATTTTTAGGTGGCTTCTTGTCGAGAAGGAAGCAGCCTATTTTTGGTGCTAGTAGGCTATCTCTAATGGATGCGATCTTGCAAATGGAAAGATGCTCCAAAGGACTAGGATAATCCTAGTTTTTTTTTTTAATTATTGTTTCGTTTTTGTTGTTTTTTTTTTTCCCTACCCAGGAGCATGTATAAATCTTGGCTTCCTGAGATTCTTTGCGAGCTCCTGTTTTTGCTGGTCACGTACCAGCCTTTACATTTATGCAGTAGTCGGAGCCTTCAGTGACGAGCCCTAGGTCAAATACTTCCTCTGACAAAGACAACACGAATGAGAATCTCTTGTATTTTGCGCTTTTCCCCTCGGAAGTCTAAAAGCGTAGCTCCGTGCATCTGATGAAATGGAGCTTCACAGCTGGGTGAAGTGGCTGTGAAGAGGGCGATGCGAATCTTCAGCCAGCTTACTCGAGAGAAACTGCAGGCTGGTCTCTGGGTGTGCGCCGTCAGCGAGCGCGCTGCGGTTGCTGGAGGGCTTTTCCCAAAGGGAGGGGGGTGGGTTGGTCTCAAATACATGTTTCAATTTCCAGAATGAGATGGGAGCATCTTTCCTTTGCCCTCTGTGACTTTTTTTGTGGGTAAGAACAGGAAAGCTCAACATGAATTCATGTTGCGTACATGTTGGTATCAAATCATCTCATTCTGATCTTTTGTTCTTTATTTTTACTTGGGATGGGGGAGGGTGTCTGCTCCAAGGATTTAAAAATGCTTCACATGCCTTTTTTTTTTTTTTTTTTTTTTTTTAAATGACTGATAGGACACAAACCTGAGCAGACGGCTGTCCTGCCTCGGTTTCTGTTCTAGAGGTTACAGAGGTGCCATGCCACGGCTCCTGAGCTGCCGTCGCAGTGGTTCTTGTCCTGGTGCTGGACTCTGTAATGCCGCTGGGGCCCAGCAGCTGTTGCTTTCTGAGGACGGAGTGAATTTTGTTCTCGGGAACGCCAGCGGTACGGCTGCTGCGGTAAAGGTTGGGCACCAGTAGTCTGCACAGGGAGTTTTCCGATTGCCGTGAACTTCTGGTCCATCTTTTGTGAATCACAGTTTATCTTCATAATAAACTAGGTCTCTGGACCAAAGAGCACGCATCCGATCTTCAAAATGAGGCTTCGGCAGATTATCCTACAGGTTTTGCTCAGTTCACCAGTGTGTTGCTAAAACGTCCCTACGTGGAAGCATTGTTAAATTCTGATGTAGACAAGTCAGGGAAGGGTAAGGAGGGGTGGGGGGAGGGATGGGGTTTATTAAGATACAGCCTTGCTGTATTTTAACCAGTAATTACGGGGAAGGGGTGTCAGGAGAAGAAAATAGTCACTGTTCCCTTTATTGAAAGAAACTGGAACTTTTATTTCAAGAAAAGAAATTATTTGCAATTCAGGTGGAACGTCGTAATCCACTGGTCCCTAGGCAAGAGGTTGGTATTCTTACTGTTAACCAGCAAACAACATGGACTAGTCCTTGAAAACATTCAGGGGAGGGAGGGGAAAATTGGCTTTCTGTTGAATCGGTAATTGGCAAACTCTCCAGTGGAGCTCAGATTTTGTTGAGACTGTGTTTTTTCTGGCTGTATGCGCGTCGCAGCACTGACTTGTGAAGAGCTTCATGAGTTCCGAGTGCAAAAAAGATGAATGGTAAAATCCTGATTTTGTTGATTAAATTCAATAAAAGCTCCCTGGAACTCCAGTTTGATCTCGTTTTCTCTTTTAACTGCGCTGAACGGAAAGCGTGCTGACATCTTTCTAGAGAACCCTGGCCCACGTCGGATGCTTGCAACGAGCTTTGGAGAGAAGCCTCAAGAAGAGGAGTCGATCTTGATAAACGGAAAGGCGCTCTGCGCTCGAGAGTGACGCGCAGCTGCAGGAGGTGTTCTCTGTCCGTACAGACCCTCCAGCCGAGGCGGCGTGCGCTCTTCCAGTGTCCAAGGCTCCACAGTCACATCTCAGCCGGACTGGTAGGCTTTACCTGACATCTGGTTGCGGTGCCGAATCGGCCCTGATGGTGACAATGAGAGTTCCTGTGAGGGGCCGGAGCAGCGCTGCGCAAGTCTGGTGGGGCTGTGGCTTGGCATCTTCAGTCAAGAGTCACCCCTGCACTGCACTCTGCCTTGCTGGCGGCTTGGGCTCCAGGAAACCTCTCGTCTGTGCTGTGGTTCTGGTCGCGTTTGTTCACAGGCAGGACAGCTGCACGAGTTCCACAGGTAAGCGGAGGGTGCGGGAGGCAACGGGCTCTTCTGACCAGAGCAGCTTGCGGTCTCAGCTGAAGTTACCTGTGAAAGGTGCACTGCTGCTTCTCGCTTACATCAAAGGGAAAGCCGGCCAGAAAGGGAGGGAAAGCTGTTGCCAGCCTTCAGCATATACATTAATGCTATATTCCTGGCCCGTGGTCAGTTCTCTTCTTGGCGACCAGAGTAGGTGAGCGCCAGCAGCAGTTAAAACGAGGAGCGAGGTAAAAACTGTTCAGGTATCCTTGTGGGAGAGGCCTTGTAAAACATGCCCCGTGCATGTAGCTGAAGCACGGTGCGAAAATTTCAGGCAAATCTCAAAAGTGAGACTGCAGCTTTTCATCAGAGAGCTCTTTACGTCGTTGGGTGGGGGAAAAGGGTTGTCCTGTTCAAAGCATTTGAACCTTAAGCTGGCAGTGCTGTGAAAGCTCTGAAAACAGCTTGTAAGGTGTGACCGTGGGTACGTGACAGGCAATGGTGCGAGACCTTCCGGAGACGAACTCGCTGGCGGCTCTTTGAAAACCTCCCGGGTAATCGTCCAGCATGAACACAGCGTTAACTGTGTACGCCAGTTTCTGATTCAGTAGATCTGGAGTTATTCCACCTGATGGATTCTTCAGCTAGAGCCGGCCTGATTTGCAGTAGCTGCACTCCAGCAGTGTGCAGGCTTGCATAAAACTCGAGACGTTTTCTCTTCTCTACTGGCCAGTGAAGAAAAGGGAATGAAGACTGGAAATAAAGTCACTACGAAGGACAGTGACTTTTGCAGGTTTTTAAAAACTTGTGAGGGGTATTGCTGTCACCCACTCTCAGTCAAAACTTCCTTAGACCAAAGCATGAAAATGGAAGTCTATTAAGTACTTTTAGTCTGATTTAGAAGTGTAAACGGACAGCTCAACTGTGCTAGGAGCTCACATGTCAATATTTTTGGGGGAGGGGGGGAAGCCGGTGCTACTGGAGGGCTAGGATGTACCAGCGGGGGCTGCGGGGAAGGCCGGGCCGCGGCCTGCAGAGCCCCCGGCGGCGCTGCCCGTAGGAAGGGAGGGGCGGGGAAAGCGGTCACGTGAGACGCGAGGGGCGCTCGGCCCCGCCCCAACATGGCTGCCTACCTGCAGTGGCGCCGCTTCGTCTTCTTCGACAGAGAGGCGGTGAAGGAGCCGCCGGGGCCGTATGGGGCCGGCGGGAAGCCCTTCGCGCTGCCCTCGGGCATCGCGGTCTGCGACTCGGGCCCGGGCGGCCCCGGGGCGGCTCTGGTTCTGGTTCTGGTGGGGGGTTTTGTTGTTGTTGGTTTTTTTTTTCTCTCCTTTGTGTGCCTTAACTGTGATCTACATATGGAAGGTCAGATTTGGTTTTTGCCTCGCTCCCTTCAACTCAGTAGTTTCCAAGCTTACAAGCTCCGGGTGACGCATCTGTACCAGCTGAAGCAGCACAGTATCTTGGTTTCTGTTGGGGAGGATGAAGAGGGTATTAACCCCTTGGTAAGTCAAACGACAAAGAGAGGAAAATGCATTTGTGTTACGGGTCTTTCTTAGAGACTACTGCGACTACCTTGGTTGACCGTTCTTACCTTAAGGAGCTTGTGCATTCTGGGCCCTGTTCTGTTTGATGCTAGGTCTTGGTCTCCTAATACTTCACATTTTGCTTATGCCAGATCGTTGTCATTTGTAGGTTAAAGTCTGGAACCTGGAGAAACGAGATGGTGGCAATCCTCTTTGCACACGAATTTTTCCAGCAATACCAGGTAACAAGCCCACAGTTGTATCCTGCCTAACCGTCCACGAGAATCTTAACTTTATGGCTATTGGTAAGTAAAATTGAATTGTAACAGCTGAAGAAAAATATCACGGTCCTTACTCAGATGTCAGGAAAGAAATAGATAGCACAAAAAATCAGCGTAGTCTGTCCTGACGGTTTTTCTTCTCACGCAGTTTTGATGTTATTCTCACAGAGAGAGAGCGTATCTTGCGCTGTCAGAGAGCTTGAGGAGATAAATACGTAAATTTAGCCTGAGTCTGTATGCATTACAGTAATAACTTTGATACTTAAAAGGGAAGCACGTATTTTTAGTTGATGTCATCTTTCCCTGCCAGTCAATGTTAGAGGTTATGCATGTATTGAACTTGGTACTAAATTTAGCTTTTGTTGTAGTACAGGAAAAAAACATAGGTTTTGCGATACCTAACGTTACAGAAAGATTTTTTTTTTTTTTTTTCCCAAGCACTGTATAGAAACCTTTTTTTAAAAAAAAAAAAGCCAACTTCTCTTTTTGGATTTAAGCATTCCCTTGTGATATTTCTTGCTTAACTTCTGACAGAGTAAGAGCAGTAACGTTGTGAGGTTGCAAGCGCTTTCAGTGAGTTGGTCCCTGGACTGAAATCAAAAATCTTTCTGTATGTGCGTTGTGGCCTTCCACCCTGGATCAACTTGCAGGACTGGGGCTGTCGGCAAGCTGTGAAAACCCCACGTTTTGCTCACTCTTAGGAAATCTCCCTCTAGTCTTTTTACAGCGTGTAGTATGTTTCGAAAAAGCTAGTGAACAATTGCCAGATGAGAAAGCTGTTCGTAAAACAAAATACAGACAGACTCAAAAAAAATAACCTGCAGGTGAAGTTTGTGTGTGGAAAGCGAGTTGAACCTTGCTGAACGGTGACATCCTGCATGCAGTCGGGTAACAGCTCTGAACCGTAACAGGAGCAACCGGGGGTGGTTTGGCACATACTTCCTTGACACAAGAACCTGCGGCAGCCCTATTACTTAATACCTTACTGGCGAGCAAGGTGTTGTCACCGACTGGAGCCGTCCTAACTTACGCTGGGTAATATTTCAGGTTTGCCATATAAGTAACAGTTTAGTCTGTTCCCTTCGCTAGGCTTTGCAGATGGGAGCGTTGTACTTACAAAAGGAGACATCACTCGAGACCGGCATAGTAAGACGCAGATCCTACACGAAGGCAGTTATCCGGTTACTGGCCTCGCTTTCCGACAGTCTGGCAAAACAACGCATCTGTTTGTGGTGACCACAGAGAACATCCAGGTGGGAAGTTAATTGAAAAAATGAGACTCTGACTCACAAATTGCATTGACTTCAGAGTCTAGTTCCGAGCGATCCCAAAACCTTGCGTTTCCTCTGTAGTCTTATATGCTTTCAGTGAAAGACTATCCTCACCTGGAGCTGGACACTCACGGTTGTGGACTGCGCTGCTCATCTCTCAGTGACCCCTCCCAGGATCTCCAGTTCATTGTGGCAGGAAACGAATGCGTGTACCTTTATCAACCAGATGAACGTGGCCCCTGCTTTGCCTTCGAGGGACAAAAGCTGATTGTTCACTGGTATCGGGGGTACCTTGTCATTGTCTCCAAGGACCGAAAGACTTCTCCAAAGTAGGGCTCCTCAGAACAGATGAGTTCTTTTCGGTCTTGCACCTTCCTGCTTTCCCTCTTTTTCTGCCTTCCCTGTGAAGCTCCGCTCCTGGGGGCCAGTTGCAACTTTGTCAGAGGTTGTTAAGATTCATCCGGACCCGTGTATCGATTAACTTCTGTTGTGAGAGTAGTGCGGTTAAGCGTGCTGAATGAGTGGGGTTTTTTTTTCCCGTCCTATGAATTTCTCAGCCTCACACATAGATGGAATTTGCATATAAATACATGGTGTTTTGCCTCTGGATCCGCTTAGTTTAATCGCCCAAATGAACCCTATTTGTCTTGCTCTCTGGACATCCCTAGTTTGCATAGGTATCAAGGATTCAAGTTACGCTCTCCTTGTTTTCTAAAACTTTATTCTGCTTTCCAGGTCAGAGTTTGCTGGGAATGAGGCACAGAATTCGGACAAACAGGTCCTGAATATCTATGACTTGTGCAACAAATTCATTGCATACAGCTCAATCTTTGATGATATAGTGGACGTCTTAGCAGAGTGGGGTTCTCTGTATGTACTGACCAGAGATGGGAAGATTCACGTACTGCAGGAGAAGGATACGCAAACCAAGCTCGAGGCACGTAAATCTGTTTTGTTATTACTGTCTGCCTTACGTCTGCAAGATTGTACTGGCTCTGCAGATTGAAAACTGGAACCATTCGGGTGAGTGAGTTACATAACACGTGCCCCGATAGCTTTTCAGCATAACCAGTGTGATAAGGCATTCGGTATTTAAAAGCCTGAGCACGTGTATGTGCACAGCACCAAACAGAAGAAACAACTTCTTTTCCAGGTGCGTCTGAAGGTGTTTTGCGGGGTGGTGTTTCCCTCATTGCTGCTCTTACCCTGTATTTAACAGATGCTATTCAGAAAGAACTTATTTGAAATGGCCATTAACCTGGCCAAGAGCCACCACTTGGACAGCGATGGTTTGTCAGAGATTTTCCGGCAGTATGGCGATCATCTGTATAACAAGGGGAACCATGATGGAGCCATCCAGCAGTATATCCGGTAAGCAGGGGTCCTGTGGAGCCACGATGGTGTAGTACAGGTAGGAGTTACGGAGGCCTTGGTTTCTGCTTCAGCCCAGGAATAAACCAAACCAAACAAACAAAAAAAAAAAAAGCATGACTTGAGGTGAAAATTCTACCAGTAGAGAGAAACGTGTCAGTGAGATTAAAAGTCTCACAAAAAAGTTGCTTGAAAATGGCTCTGTGCGCCTTAGGATAAAGTTCTCCTCTTTGATCATACTTTAACACGAACAGTGAAGGCACGTTGGGATGGAGTGGGGCCTGGCGACGTCATTGTAAACAAGGGATCTCTCTAGGTGAGATGGGTGATGTGATTTGACCATGTAGAGCAGTCGTCTTGGAAAATGCTCAAACAGCTGAATGTCAGTTTTAAAACATCTCAAGTTTTTTAAAACTTGGAGCAGCCTATTTTGGGGCTTACTGAAAACTTCATGTTTGATCTCTTCTTTAAAATGCTACAAAGCATTACGTTCATGTAGAACTGAAACTTTGGAGTCCCGACATCTAGCGCGAGTCGGCATGTAGTTTATTGTCAACTGGCATTAAGTGTCGGGATAACTGTGGCTAAACTGCTCCGTGTGGCCAGGAGCTTTTAAAGTTGAGTTTGAGTTACGTGACTGAAAGGAAGGAAAATGTAGCTTTTGTTCCCCTTTTTTTGGGCTTCCCAGTTAGCTGCGGTCAGAGCGTAGTTCATCTCCTCACTGCCTCCTTTAAAGGAGGATTAAGTCCTTGTGTGCTGTCGCCACTGTCCCGATCGCGGCCTTTGTAGAGGGTGGTTTGTTTCACCGTGCGTGCGGATGGGCGGTCTTACACCGTAACTAGTTGTTAATTCTGATGCGTAGCTGAGTGGTCCCGAGTGGGTTAGTGCCTGCTGAGGTTAAAGCTTCTCCGTGCTCTGGGGTTAATTTCTCCATTTCTTCTGACTTACCGGCTATATGGTCTCTTGCAACGTGACTCTCCCCTCCAGAACTATAGGGAAGCTGGAACCGTCTTACGTTATTCGGAAGTTCCTGGACGCTCAGCGTATCCACAACCTCACTGCTTATCTGCAGACGCTCCACCTGCAGTCCCTGGCCAATGCAGACCATACTACACTTCTGCTGAATTGCTATACCAAACTCAAAGACAGCTCGAAACTGGAGGAGTTCATTAAGGTATTGGGGGAAGGTGAAATCGTGCCAAGTTGTTATGTCATCATTGTAATTAAAAAGGGGTAGCGGTGACATTGTGAATTGGCTCCTGTGGGGCTCTTGAGAGAGAGAGGAAGGGATTTCTCCCTCAGTACCCTTGTCTTTGCTCCTTTATTGCCAAGCTCTTGGTCACATCCTCAGTTTGGCTGGCTTGCCCTCTGAGTCTGGAGTGTGCTGGCTTTTGCCAGTGTGACTGGCAGCCTAATGAGAGGTGGTTAGACTACTTCCTTTCTGCACGTGTGATCTTCCCCTTGCATGAGAGGTACTAAGTTGTCCCTGCTCTGGCTTTCCTCCTCTTACATAAACGATTGCTGCTTGTGGACCGTGGGAATGTCACTGAGGGACCATCTTTCTGCTTCTGTTCTTGTAGACGAGTGAGAGCGAGGTCCACTTTGATGTGGAAACGGCCATCAAGGTGCTTCGTCAAGCGGGTTACTACTCCCACGCTGTGTACCTGGCAGAGAAGCACGCGCATCATGAATGGTACCTCAAAATCCAGCTAGAGGACATCAAGGTGAGGAGACGTTACTGCTCCCGTGTTCTTATTGGGGAGAATACCACTTCTCTAGGCTCTTTAGTGAGAATACCATTTCACTGAGCTCTTCCCTGCGGCTAGTGTGCTGACAGGACTGCTGAGGCAGCAGTAACCACGCCTGCTGCTGCTTGCATGTTAGCTTTCTGCTTTTGGCTTGTGCGGTAGACTAGGGGTGGAAATCGGAGGGGCTTATTCGTTCTGTTTCAAATGTGGCTTTTTACAGTGCCCTTTAAGAGGAGGGAGGGTCGTTACTGAGAGATTGATCTAAATGGCGCTCTCTTTCCCCTGGGCCACAGCCAGTCTTCCTCCCTGAGGAGGAAAACAAGCAGGAATAGTGAACGATAATTCAGAGCAAATGGCGTTTAAGGCATACTCGCAGTATGTATTCCGTGCTTTATGCCCTAACCTCAAAGTGGAGAGCAGAAGCCAATGTCGTGTGATTCCAAGCTGCCTTTTGATCAGGCAGAGAGTAACATGAAGCGGTATGGTAAAATCCTGATGCACCATGTCCCTAACGAGACCACGGAATTGCTGAAGATCCTCTGCACTGATTACCAGCCTTCGGGAGACAATGAAGGCCCTGGGATGCTGGAAGGAAAAAAGGTACGGTTTGCGTTGACTGAGAATTGTTGCTGTTGAGTAGTAACTTCGCAGCAAGCGAGTGCTCCTGTGCACCTCGTGGTGCAGGCCTGATGGTGTAATGAGAAGCCCCGTCCTGGTAGTCCCCGAGACAAGAGGCTGCTTAAAGCTATTGCTCAGAACCATTTCCTGCTGTAATCGACATCCCGTGCCGTGCTGTATCCGTAGCGTCGCAGACGGTGGGAATGAGCGCTCTGCACAGCAGGGAAGAAGCGCCAGTCTGGCTGCGACTGATCTGGGTGCTTGACTTTTCTGGCTGTGTTATAGGCTAATTCAGAGGAGTTCATTCCAGTCTTTGCAAACAACTCCCGAGAACTGAAGGCTTTTCTGGAGCACATGACTGAGGTGCAGGCTGACTCTCCGCAGGGTGTCTATGACACTTTACTGGAACTTCGACTCCAGAACTGGGCACATGAACAAGATGAGCAGGTTTGAGCTCCTCCAGCTTTGTGTTTTCAGAGGGGGACTTGGTGTCTTTGCATCCTATTTGC